CAGTGGGGAACGGTGGAATTAGGGCGTGCCTTCCTGATGCTGCAGTCTCTCATGATAGGGTTATGACAAGCATACAACGAATAGGACATGCTTTATCTGCCATTGGGTCTATGATGAATCAGATGTGACCCAAGTCCCCTGATGACTCATCTGATACATTGACCAAGTTAGCAGATGCTTCTCAAATCTTAGCAAAAGCTCATAACACCATGTCATTGCACAGACGTTACCACATAGTGCCTTTCGTCAATTCTGAATGCAAAAAGGTTATCGAGTCGTCCATGGTCGGTAAATATTTATTTGGAAAAGATTTTGATGAATCTTTCAAAAATAAACAAGCGATGAAAAAAGTCAGTTCAGAAATCGAAAGAATCAATAATAATTTCTTTCCTATTTCGAAGCCAAGCACATCAACAGTGCCTACAACCACTACTTATCCAAGAAAAAAGAGAAGAGGAGAGAGGAAGCAGACTTCGGAGGGAGAAATCATCAGACGAAACTCCACTACCAATATCACAGCCGTCCATAAACCAGGTAACTTCAAAATATGCAGGTACCCTCCATGAGTTGCATAAAAATTGGTTGAGGTTTACCAGAGACAAGAGGGTTTTACGTCGGGTCAAGGGGGTGAAAATTCCTTTTCATACAATTCCTCCCATCCAGCGTGATGAACCTATTGTTCATATCTCAAAGTCACAAATTGAAAATACACGTACTCAATTTCGGAGCTTCTTGAAATGGGGTCCATCTCGAAATGTTCACCTGATAAAAATCAATACTTATCTTCTCACCTTGTAACAGAGAAACAGAGTGGTGAATATAGATTCACTTTGAATCTGAAAAACTTCAATACTTTCATAGGAGGCTCCACATTTCAAGATGAAAAACTCCAGAACAGTTTCAAGGCTATTACACAAGAACTGTTTCATTGCCAATATCGATCTGGAGAATGCATATTTTTTTGTAAACGATCTATGGAGACCATAAGAAATATCTGAGACTTAATTTCAACAAGAGGTCATTCGAATTCAATTGCTTACCATTCGGGCTCAATGTAGCACCTTATATATTTACCAAGGTGTTGTGTTAGTTGCTTATTTAGATGACATTCTCTTAATCAGCAAAGATAAAATTGAATGCGAGGAATTTGCTTCAATAACAGTAGTGTTTGGGATAACACGTTAAAAGGTAAGGCCCCCGTCATTCCTTGCTCGCACAAGACTCTCGAAGACTTCTGAGGGTTGCTCGTAAGGGGGCAACCGAATGACGGATAGAACAATTTTAGAACAATTTTGGAAGCTCTGGTACTTTGTGGTTTCATTGTCAATTTAGAATAAAGTAACTTGGTGCCTACACAAGAGCTAAAATTTTTAGGATCTTTATAGAATACGCAAAAGATGTGCATATCATTTCCGGAAGAAAAAATCCTTACAATTCGACGACTGTTGAAGAAATTGATTATTGAACAAAAATATCGAATAAGGGAATTTGCAGTGGTATTTGGCAAATTAGTTGCAGCCTGCCCTGCCATCAATTATGATTGGTTGCACGTCAAACCTCTGGAAATAGCAAAATTCGAAGCTTTGAGCCAACCTAATCAAAATTTTGAGAAATGGATGGAAACTCCAACCAATCTCATTCATGAATTAGATTGGTGGAATGGAAATCTGAATGAAACATGAACACAAAAAAAAAAAAAAACAGAAAAAAAAAAACAGGAAATAACGTTAGAAAATCTATTCAGACGCATCACCAACAGATTGGGGGGACTTCTGCCAAGGTCAGCGGAGAAATGGGTTCTGGAATTCCGAGGAAGAACAGAACCCTATAAACTATCTTGAAATCAAAGCGGCGTTTTATGGCCTGAAGTCTTTTGCCAAAAATACCAGTAATATTCACATCTTGTTCAGGATTGACAATGTTACTGCAATTTCCTGTATTAATCGTTTTGGTAGCATACAATATGCAAATCTTAATGAAATCATGAGATCGTTGTGGGATTGATGTGGATCAAAAAATGATCTGGTATTTGCCTCATACATCCCTTCAACTCAAAACGTAGAATATGAATTAAATCGAACAGCCTACGATCGAATTGTGCAGTGTTTTGGCCAACCGGAAATAGATATTTTCGCTACTAAACTGAATTCCAAATGCAATAAATACGTTTCTTGGCTTCCAGACCCAGACTCTTTGTCAGTAGACGCTTTCACGATTAGTTGGAGCAATATTTTTTTTTAACTTTCTCCCGCCCTTTTCTATAACCACCTGAGTCCTGGAAAAAATTGTTCAAGAAAGGGCCTGTGGAATTCTTATAGTTTCAAACTGGCCATCACAACTGTTAAAAAGCCTTTTGACACAAAGCCCAATAATTGTCAAACCGAATAAATATTTATTATCATCTCCTTTCAGAGAGAGCCACCCTTTGAACGGGCAAATTTCCCTGGTAGCAGGGAAGTTATCAGGTTAACGTTTGCTGAAAGGGGGGTTCCACAGGCCGCAATACCAATCATCCTGGAATCTATAACAGCAGGTACCCTCAAACAGTACTCAGCCACATACAAAAAATATTGGCAATTCTGTATCGACATAAAAACAACCCCCTTACCTATAATTTGAATACTTATATTGAATTCCTGATCAAGGCTATAGAGACTGGCAACTCGTATTCCGCTGTCAACTGTCACAGATCAGCACGAAATCTCATTTTCCACCCGAATATCGATGATCAGAAAATAATCAAAAGATTGTTAAGGGGAGCGAGCAACATCAAACCCACTGCTCCAAGATATAGATCCTTTTGGAACCCGGAACCAGTATTGCGATATCTCAATTTTCTGTACCCCTTACACTCCATTAGTCTGGAGAAACTTACCTGGAAGTTGGTCATATTGATAGCCCTTACAACTGCTCATAGGGTGCAAACTATGTCGAAAATGAGATTGGGTGGTATGATTATACATGAGGGAAAATTCGAATTCAGAATATCTGAAAGAATCAAAACATCAGGTCCAAAAATTAGTATTCTATTCTAGCTATTCCTTATTTTAATTTGAAAACCAGAGTTATGTGTTGCCACAAATGGTATTGATGAGGGATAGTGGAATCAATACCGAATTATTCAAAAGCCACAGTGTCCGCCGGGGTGAACATTAATAGTATAAAAATACAGGCTGGTCTGAATCATCAAATGTATTTTCTGAATTCTACAATAGACCAGTAGGAAAAGACGATGAAGTACAATATCAAATCCCAATTTGGAAGACTGATTTATATTAAAATTCACTATACCTATATTACATGATATCATAATATATACCAAATTTTTTTTTCCAAATAGGTACATATATTATATATTTTTAATGTTCAAATGTAACATTCAATTTACAAGTTTGTTTACCATTTGTTCACCATTTATTTACCAGCATTTTTGAGGTAATATACCAAATAAATCTTTCTTAGTTCTACCCATTTAAGGATCAAAATCACACTGCTTTAAACAGCTACAGTGTGTGTAATTATGTCGGAAGACAAGCGAAGGAAAATTGTAAGATTAATCGACTTACCTGAAGGAAGATTAATCCACATTTTCCGAGCTTGTCTTCCGACATAATTAGAACCCTCCTCTCCCAGTTATGAACCCCTTTAAAAGTGTGATTTTTCAGACTCAAACGGAATGATCATCCTTATCAGCGGTATTCAGTGGTGAGGTATCCCGAGGTTTTTATATACTTTTTTGTGCTCTACTATAAAAACGTACCGTCACGTAAGAGATTCGGAAACTACAGTGTGTGTAATTATGTCGGAAGACAAGCTCGGAAAATTTGGATTAATCTTCCTTCAGGTAAGTCGATTAATCTTACAATTCTCTAGTGTTCACATGATGAATAACAAGGAAAATGAATAGGTATATGTTAGATTAAAAAACGAAAATCAAATGATAATAGATACGTAACTTGAAACATAAAGTAGGCAACGATACAAAAATGTGTTTTCTTGCTTCAACGCAAGCCTTTATGTATGATACTCTTCACAAGCTCTATATATATACATTACTTCCATTCAGTAGAACTTGTTTGAGTTGAGAAAAAATTGTTAGCTCACAAATTTCAAAAACAAATATTCATATTGGGAAAAGAAGATATTATATTACATTATTTTCGTGTAGAACTTGGACTGATTCATACTAGGAGTTTCTGCTTTAGTCTCTAGGAAAGAAAACTATTTTTTTTTTCAGATGGATAACATTTTGTCAGAAACAAATTTGTCCAGATCCTCTACAAACTTTTTTTGTAGTTTAGATGCCAATCTGATCAAATTTCCATCCTATGCTGACACTATCTTGAACAGCAAGTCGAATGATCCTGAACAAGATTTGTAGGTGGAAGTCCGACGAAAAATTTCAAATCTGAAACTCGAAATAATGTTTAGTGTGTCCGTCATTTTTCTCTCTGGTTTGAAGTTTTTGCCGTATTTTTTCTCATAATTGTGCTTTAATTGGGATGATTCACTTCTTAACATATATTTCAATTTGGGTAGTGTAGTGATCAAATCTTTCGCGTAAAAAATCAAAATGTCCAGATAATGACTGATGACAAAAGATGTGTAGTTGTATAATGTGTGTGTTGTATTATGTCCTGTACTCATTCCATTGACCACATTTTTATTGTCAAATACTGTATGAAATGCATTCGTTCAAATATAGGGATTGGTCACAATACAAGCATACACTTATGTTTAGGTGTAATCCTCGTATTTCAACGATTCTAATATTAATAATGCATAATATGATGATTTTTCGTTTGTTTGTAGGTATGTAATAAATTGAATTGAATTGAATTTTCATATAGCTGCCTTGAAGATTTTGCCGCCTGGTGCTATAGCACTCAAAAGACCCCTGGTAAAACCGGCACTGGATCTCGGCAATCAAAATTGATTACAAAAACAACCTATCTGGCCAGTTCCAGTTAGTTATCAAACTGCCGCTCGAAATTCCAGACATGATTCGTGTTTGCTTGTTTAAATTTATGTTTTTGACGCAACTGTCGACCATCTACACCGAAGGATGTGATTCTTTTAACAACACGGACATAAGTGCGAGTGACCATATGGATGATGAATTGAACTTCTACGTGGTGGACGGTTGCCTCGAACCCAAGGATTTGGAAGGTATAATCTATGGTAAGAAGAACGAGAGGGGTCATAGATGTTATATAATACAGGGTGATTCATTAAGAAGAGGCAATCTCTGAATTCGATGTTCTTAGTAACTGCCTATATCAATTACTGTCCTGTGACAAAACACCCACTATCGCCCTCTCGTAATACTTTGGTTTTATTATTTCGATTATATCGGTATAACTTCCATCATTGTGTCACGTTTATGGTAACGCCCTGTACGTTATTAATTTTATATCTCTACCTATTGTCGAGGTGTCGCGCGGTTTGATGCGACAAAAAACCTGAGGCAGTAAAAAGCTTTGTTGAATTTGTATCTTCTTTTGCAAGCGGGTCTAGGTTTTTTCTGAAAACAGGATTTCGGAGAGAACGAGCATTCGAGATTTTCATGCGACGCTAACAATTACCAAAAGAGCCTTCTGGTTTCATTTAATAGGTACGTACGTCATTTGATAGGTACGTACTCTATGTATAATAATTCTGATAATATATGGTTTTGCACAATTTTATTCACATGTTATAAAAGTAACAACTTTTTACTTACTTACTTACTTGATATATTTTTGATACTTTTAACCGGCATTCGCTGCCTTATTTTTATACATCATTCCATGTACTATATACAGGGTCATTTGATAGTTGTTGATGAAGTTGCACGGTGGAAGTTATATTAATTAAAATAAACCAACAAAAACATCCATCTAGTCCAGTAATTTCCAAAACCAGCCTGAAGAATCCCTATAAGAGCGCCCTGAGATATTTGGTTTCATTGCAGTCCTGTTTTTCATTGTCACTTCGGAAACTTCATGGTTCAAAATAATAAAAATCGTGTATGTTCAATACAGATCTCTTCATCAGGAGCGAATGACACAAAAACCGTAAAGGCTAGACAATTTCAAAAGGAGGGAATTTTCGTATTTCTCATGTCAGAAAACCTGAAACTACAAAATTTCATGTTCATACTGTTAAAACTTATTATTGGTACATTCCAAAATAAAATCTTCCCTTTGAACGCCCTATATATAAATCTTGATATTTTGGTGTTTTCTATCTGTAGTTCAGAGATTGATGACCTATTAAATACAGGTATACTAGGGTGGATCAGCAAATCAATGTTACAGTTGTTGATATACACCTAGGTGCAGTAGGTGTAAACCCAATATAATCATTCAAAGTCCCGTCGGCTCTGAGATTCACATAGGTAACAAAGTTTTAATTATTAACAGTATTTCTCCTTCAGGAAACTCCCATCAGCCAAGGATACTGGTTTCGTATTGTAATGTATGTACAGCGTACATACATTAGACACAGTTGTAATGTAAAAAAGCGTACAAGTATATTAAAGAGAGAAATTAACGTCATCCTATTTGCGTAAAAGGGGCTATCGGTAACGATTGTTTACCAAATGTTAACAGATAAGTTGCCATCGATTCTGAGAAACACATAGCATTTGCTGAGCCAGTTTTACACTTCTAGTTCTAGGATTACGTACAACACCTCTCTTTTTGAATCTTGTACGCTTCCTTATGGAATACTACTGTAGGTATACCTACTTTTCAATGAAAACCAGAATGGAACGCCAATTCGGTCGACCACACACTTAATTGAAATCGAAACGTAACTATTTCCGGCCCTATCGGCTACCTACCTGAAAGATATCGATATGAATAAATTATAGGCAACAAGTGTGATGAATCAAAATTGACTAACTTCAGATAATATTGTACCTGGCATGTGTCAGACCATTGTCGTTCTAGATGACAACCTCGTTAGGTATAGTTAGTAGGCAGGAGCTATAATATTATTGTCTGTTCATTGAAAAGACAAATGAAGAAAATATGTAGTTCAGGGACATCTACGTGAACTAAGTGAGTAAATAAAAATCTGTCATGTTGAAACCCGAAAATGAAATATTATCACGAAAGATATTATCAAGTATGAAAACCATCTACCTATACTCGAATGGAAGCAGGGAGATGTTTAGGCAATGCTGTATTAGGTTGACTTATGATGCAACTTGAATTTAAGTTGGAACTGTGGAAACTTCGGAAACTCATCAGTGCTTCAACACTTTTTCGACATGCAAGCCAAGCAGAAAGGTAGGGGCTGCTTATTTCCTTCTATATTTTTGATAAGTTACTATATAATTCATGTAATTCCGTTATTTGCAGTGAAAACATGTCTTTAGGTACACATCGGAATCACTATAAGTACTTAAAAATGTCAGGTACCTACCTACAGCGAAGAGTACCTACATGAATAGCTTTTCAGTTGAAAAACGAGAACCTATGAGTGATACAAACAAATTGATGTGGAAGAATCACATTAGGAATCATTAATGTGAGTAATGTTCAGAATAAATGTACAGGATGGATGATGATGTTCGAGAACATAATGAAAAATTTCCCATCTTAAATGCATATATAAAAGCAATAAAGTTACACTCAATCTGGTTATTTCATCAATGTCTCATGGATATTCTGCTCCGAACACAAAATATCATTATATGTTTTATAGGTAGGTACATACTGGGTGCCTATCCTAGCCCTTATCAAGCTACAATATCAGAGACCTGAGAAGAATTTGATGCATATTAATTGATGTAAGTTTTTTACCTATTCATAATGATGTGATGCCTGTATCTAGATTTTTTGCATGATATCAGCTGATGAATTGTTTGAACCCTCTGCTTATATTACCTTCATTTCGCATGCATAGTAGAAACATTAAATCAGCCATGAGATTATTGGATTTTGATAAAATTTGGAAGATTTGACTTGCAAAAATATCCAGTTCACAAGATTTTATGAAAAAAAAAAATCAGAAACTTTTCATCCTGTAATTCGATGAGCTGTATCCAGATATGCAGTAAAAACAACCATGTTTTTGCTGGAAATAGCCAGTCCCCAGCATTTCATTCTAGTCCGCAAATTATACACATCCCAATGTATATTCAATTCATCCATTTTTCATTTTCGTAGTGAGCAAATCAGAATTTCACTAGAGTAAAGTGATTTCAAGATTGTATATAGGATTATCTTCAGATATATGGTTTCCTATTGTTCAGGGTTCTTGGTCAAGATGCTGGGATATTTAGAATTTTTTTATTGGAAAATAACTTGTATGTATGAATGACAATATTTTTTTAATAAATTGAATATTATTATGAAGAATTATTGCAATTTTTATTCTACTAATTTGTTCTCCTCTGATACCCTGTTTATTGTTGTACAGATGTATTGGCAGGTAAGTTTGGAAATACTATATATATTGTACCAAAGGTATATAGGTTAAATATATTCTTTGCTGAACAATGATTATCTTTTATCAAATCATCTTATTGAAGCCACTAACTTCACTAAATATGAGAAGATCCCAGTATAAACATGAGACATTTATGAAATATTTCAAGATTATCTAAAATGTTAATGATTGAAACATTTTCCAGGAACATTCCAGGGATATTGTAAAATCACTGTAACATTCCTGAAATATTTCAAAACAACTATAATTGATTTATTCCGAAACATTTCAAAATTACTTGAGAAGTGAATGAATGAAACATTTCAAGATAACTTTGATTGTGAATAATTGAAACATATCATTTACTACCTATTCAGGAATGTTTCAATGCTTTCGAAATATGTTTGAAACGTTTCAAGGTACCTCAAACTATTGAGATTTTGAAACATTTAGAATATACTCTCATTGCGAATTACTTCAATGTTTCAAGACAACTTGAATGTCTTGATTGAGGAATATTTCAAAATCACCTGAATTCCAAATGATTGAAACATTTCAATATGTCTCTCATTCTGAATGATGGAAATATTTTTCAGGAACATTCCAGGGATATTGCAAAATCACTGTAATATTCCTGAAATATCTCAAAACAACTGTAACTGATATTATTCCAAAACATTTAGAAATTAACTGAGAAGTGAATGAATGAAACATTTCAAAATAACTTTGATAGTGAATAATTAAAACATATCATTTACTACTTATTCAGGAATGTTTCAATGCGTTTGAAATATGTATGAAACGTTTCAAGGTACCTCAAACTATTGAGATTTTGAAACATTTCAAATATACTCCCATTGCGAATTACTTCAATGTTTCAAGACAACTTGAATTGCTTGATTGAGAAACATTTCAAAATCACCTGAATTTTGAATGATTGGAACATTTCAATATGACTCTCATTCTGAATGATGGAAACATTTTTCAGGAACATTTCAGGAATATTTCGAAATCTTTGTACCATTCCTGAAACATTTCAAGACAACTTTAACTGATATATTCCGAAACATTTCAAAATTACTTGAATAATTGATAAATGGAACGTTTCAAAATTACTTCAATTGTGAATAATTGAAACATATAATTTTCTACTTATTCAGGAATGTTCCAATGTGTTCGGAATGATATGTTTGGAACATTTCGCAAGGTACATCAAACTATAGAAATTTTGAAACATTTCAAATATACTCTCATTGCGAATCACTATATAATATTAAAAGACAACTGAAATTGATTGATTTCCTGAATTTCAAATGATTGGAACATTTCGATATTACTCTCATTCTGAATGATGGAAACATTCATCAGGAACATTCCAGGGATATTTCAAAATCATTGCAACATTTCTGAATCATTTCAAGACAACTTTAATTGATATATTCCGAAACATTCCAAAATTACTTGATGAATAATTAAAAAATGAAACGTTTCAAAATCACTTCAATTGAAAAATATCATTCAATACTGATTCAGGAATGTTCCACTGCGTTAGGAATATGTTTGAAAAATTCCAAGGCTCCTAAAAATATTGACATTTTGACACATTTATTAGGAATTACTTACCTACTACAATATTCCAAGACATGCAACTTGAATTGGTTAATTGAAGAATATTTCAAAATAACCCGAATTTTAATAAAATAATTAGATTTTTTTACAACTATTACATGGTCTATTTTGACCATGCA